TAAAAATAGATAATTTGAAAAACAAAAATCAGATAAACTTCACGCCTTCTTAAATTTACACACCGTATCTGAATTCATAAAAAAAAAGAATAATAAAATTCTATGATTCTTTAAAATATTTAACCAATGGAGAATTCAATACGATAACATTTCCACCGGCTCCTCGGCGATGGCAAAATATAGATGTAAGGTAGATTTTATGTTAGTCCTAAGAAAATTAGCAATATAGAGGTGAGCCTCATCATCCAGATAGAAAGTCAAGCAATAAAGATAAACAGAACTAAGAAAGGCTCAGCAAGACCTTAAAATGTATCTAAGATACAGCACAAGGAACATGTTAAACATATGTAAAAAAACGAAACATGTATGAAACTGATTATAAGAAAAAAAAAAAATTAAATTCCCCATAGATTTCTTGTAAATACGTTAACATTAATATGTGAAAAGGTAAGCAGCAGTTAATGGGCTTGGATCCCACATAAAAATTGTCAGGTGAAGAAAATTTTGAAATTATTTTCAAATAATCGATTATTGATAAAATTGTGTGTGGTAAAATATGGGAAAATTTTTATTATTACTTTATATTATTTTTTTTTACTTGTATATATGAGTTTGAAAATATAAAAAAACAAAATTGGAAACGCCGGTCAACAAGGGAAAATAGCCAAAAAAGCCAACTTTTTTTGATTTTTTTTTCACCTATAATTCCTAAATGGTGCATCGAAACAAAAATGTATTCTTTAAGAAATTAAATATAGTTAAATTGTGTGTCGAACGTAAAAATTTGATAAAGTGGTATAGTCAGTAACACATAACTGATTTTTACCAAATTTGTCAAAAACAGATGAATTACTATAAATGATCCTGCAGCTTGGAAATGAGTTTTTTAATTATTATAGCATCATACGTTAGATGATTCAATTGTCTTTTTTTCACGGTAGTAGTAATCGACCAAGAAAAAGAAAATTAATTTAAAACTTTTTTTTCTGTTTATTGAGAACTTTTGCCACACTTAAGGGCACTGAGTACTAAGGATGAGTGAGGCACATTCATACCATATATACAATACAATAAAAAATATAAAAAAAATAAAAATGTATACATCTATATAACAAAGGCAAAAACTTTAATAAATCAAGGAAATGTAACTGTAAATTAAATAAAATACATAAATTCGTAGCAAAATTAAATAAATTATAATTAAAAGAAATAAATAGAAAAACATTCATACTAATTTAAAACTGCGTTCATATTTTAAACTAATATGTTTATAAATTAAAATAATCTAAACCATTGCTAATAATAGTCCGATTTCAAAGATTTTTTTTTTTTGTTTTGTAAGGAATTTAGTAAAATTTTCTTATGTTCTTATTATTATCTTTATGTTCTTATGGATTGTTACTGTATTAAGATTGGTCGATTTCTTCAAAAACAATTGTTTTGGACAATTAAATTATTTTATTAATATTGGTTCGTTAATAAAATCAAAATAATGTTCTCCATTAGCTTAGCCTTGGATATGGATATAAAATTGCACCACATTATAATTATACATTCTTTATTAATAGATAAACTTTCAAAGAGTATTGACATTATCGTTATCTATAACCACTTGAGGTAAGTAGATGATAAAATAATAATTTAAGAATAAATACCTCATAAATAAATAAAAAATGATCCTTTTATAAACATTGGTATCATAACCATTCAGCTAAATAGTTCCATGGTCCTTGAAGAATATATTGAAACTTAGATTAGTTATAAAATGATCCAGTATCAACGTTATCAAATTCTATCTCCTAATTTTGCTTACTGTCCTTTGAGACAGATTGTTATATTTTTTCAATAAGTTAAAAAAAAAAATTGCTTAGAGCATGCATTTTCCACTCTACGTCTATATTTCGATTTGGCCCAATGTTGTAGAAAATTAGGAACAGAATTTACGAATAGTCTGGTATCAAATTCCAATAAACAATTGTAATTAATGTAATTGTTAAGAATGGCTGTGAAATGATATTAGTCCGTGATATAGATCCGTTTTTATCGAATTATTAATTAACATCCACCTGAAACTTCGTAAATAGTTTCATCTCATCGTAACCTACAACTAATTTATTTTTAATCTGGAGGGGAGCAAACTTTGTCTATTTAATTAGGTACTAAAAACTAGTAAATACATATTTGCTTTCTTCTTGGATCGTAAGATAATCGTAAGTCTAGAAAAGGGTGGCTTCCAAAAATATTCTGCTGTTTGCGTGATCTACATCCCTAAATTTCAAGACGAGGTTATTTAGGACAAATGGCCCAATATTTTTGTAGGCCACCTTTTTTTTCGATTTTGTGATCAATTTATCTTACGATCAAGTAGAAAGCAAATGGGTATGGACGAGTTTTTTTAATACCTAATTAAATAGACAAAGTTTGCCCCTCTCCAGATTGAAAACGCCCCAATTCCAAGAGTTTTCGTAAATAAAATAGTTGTAGGTTACGATGAGATGATACTATTAACGAAGTTTCAGGCGGATGTTAATAATTCGATAAAAAGGGGTCTGTACCACGGACTAGTATACAATAAACAATTGTAATTAATATAATGTTAAGAATGGCTCTGAAATGATGAATACAATAACCATATGACAAAGGGAGGTGATATTAGTAAATAATAATAATAATAAGGCTTAGCGAACCCGAAGGTTCGATGCCGACACCACCAATCGCTTGTTACACACCTCCCTCCACCGTTCGCCGTCCAAACCCAGTCCCTTCAGATCGACTTTAATGCAATCTTCCCACCTTCGCTTCGGTCTATCCCTCAGACGCTTACCATTCGGCACAGCAAATATTAACCTTTTAGGAATTCTCTCGTTACTAAGCCCAACAAGTTTACAAGCCCATTTGATTCGCCGCGATGACATTACCTCAATTATATTACCCGGATACAGCTCACGCGATTCGGCGTTGTGTAACCGTCTGAACTCTCCGGTTAACTCATCCTTCTTGGGTCCGAATATTCTACGCAATACTTTATTTTCAAAAACCTTAAGACGCTGCTCATCCCTTAATGTAAGCGGCCAAGTTTCGCATCCATAAAGAACTGTAGGCAAGATAATTGTTTTATAGATTCTAATTTTTAAGTTCCGGGACAAGCGGCGCGAACTAAGTAGTTTTGTCACAGAAAAATAACAAGCATTTCCCGCCTTCAGTCTAACCTTATTCTCTTCTTCAATTTCGTTTTTTCTAGTTATCGTAGAACCTAGATACCTAAATTTATCTACCTGTTCAAACATATTACCATCTATATCGATATCATATAGATTATTTTGTTTTATCCACGTTTATTTCGAGTCCTAGTTCTTTACCGGCTTTCATTAACGTTGTCGTATTTAGTTTTATAGTTTCAACGTCTTCGCTTAACAGTACCAGATCATCAGCATAGCCCAGCACGGATCCAACCCTTTCTCGGTTCAGGTGATATTAGTATTAAACTTAATTTGATTTATTATATATCTATTTTATTAGATTACTCTATTCAGTTTAAAATACCATGAGTGAATCGTAGGGGTATTTTATTTTTTATATACCTAATAAATATGTTGTGAGGAAACTATACTACATTTTTTCTCACTCAAGGCCTCTGAAAAGGAGATGGCCTCGTGATCTCTTAATTTATATACTTTATTAGAGCCATTGATTTCCTCTGTATCACATTTGCTGGATGTATATTTATTTTTATGCAGTTGTAAATTTCATGAATAATTAAGATAAACATCTTTTTATGAATTATTTTAGAAATAAAAGTTGTTAACAATAATATTTTCCTTAAATATGACTAGAATTAATAACACTACAGATCTGAATAGTCCCATTTTAAATACTGATTCTAAGTTCTTTTTACAGCGTTCCGACCTTGAGATACAATTCAGATATTAGTACAAGCATAGTATCTAATAGGCGTTTCACAGCCAGTCGTAGATTTTTGCGATGAATAAATTAAAATTTTAAAAATAAATTAATACAAAATCGACTACTTTATTATTAGTCTTTTTTTTTTTTATGTAGTTTAAATACAAAATGTAACACCTAAAACATGGAATAATTATATGCATTTTTAAAATTTATTATAATTAATACATGGAAAGCTTATACATACATTTTTTTTTTTTTTTAGCATTACAGACATTTGAGATATTTTTTCGATTTCATTCCAGTTATCTGCATGAAGTTCTATTGCATCTTCGTTGATTCGATCTATCCACCTTCTTTTTGGCCTTCCACGTTCTTTTTTTTTCTACTCAGGCATTCGCGTAGGGGCTTTCAGATTGATTGATTCCAGATTTTAAATCTGTATGGCATATTTAAAAGGGTTAATGATTTTTTCAGGAGGGGGGCACATTTCAACGGAGTTGTGAATTTACAACTGCAGTTCAACTGCCTCCCGCAGTGCTGCATCCTACGCCCCGATGAAGACCAGCAAAGTGGGTCGAAACGTCGGCAAAAATTAAATAATACTATTTGTTGTATTTATTTGGCTACACCCACCGATCAACTCCTTCTCATATTATATCAGCGGACAACCATCTCTACATCATTATGAAATTAGTGAATAATTTGATAAATTTTCCTTTTGCGATATTTCAGCAGAATCCATTTACAATCAGTATGACAACTTTTGAGTTGACTATGATAGACAGTGTAAATATCATAATTCCATTTTAGTAAACTTTGCAGTGGAAAAGAACAGTTTAATAATTAATAGTCGTACAATCCATAATCAACTTATCGTACAGTCCGGTTGTATAATATATAGGACTTATGTTATTTTAACAGTAGTTATGATATATTAGCTGTAATATTTTAGCTTTCGCTCAGTTAAAAATGCAATTCAAAAATTTTATAATAGTTGAGCGGTAAGTGAAAGTTGTGTGTTGCGCGCACCAGGTTTTCCCCCCTTAACTTTACTATGTATGTAGACTAATATACGATTTTGACTTTGCTTGTAGAAAGATGGCTCCTAAGGTGGAAAAATTGCCGATACGCTCCTTTGGAGTTGGAGAGGGTCCTCATTGGGACATCGAAAGGCAATCGCTTTACCTAATCGATACTGTGGGAGTGGCCATCGCGAGGTACGACTTAGCCACCAACAAATCCTACATTGCTAAATTAGGTAAGGAAATTTAAGTATTTTTTTTTTTTTTTAGAATAAGACTGGTTTACACCTAACTGATAGATACTTTAAAGTGAATAACAATAATGCTTATTCATCGGTCTTTTCCCAGTCCGCTGGTGTTCCTCAAGGTAAAATCCTAGGTCCTATCCTTTATACGGTTTATACAGCTGACATCCCTTCCCTCTTGTATCTGTTTCTTTTTAAACTGTTTTTTAAAAGTAGCAGAAAAAGTTGGAACTGCTACTCATAACTAGCAAACTAAATAGAGAATTAATCGCTACATATAAATATTTTTCTCGTTCCAGATCTTTCTGCTCTCAACTTCATAATACCAGTAGCTGGTTCCAAAGAGAAATTCGTCATAGGATCCGGGCATAGGCTCTACATCATTAGTTGGGATGGCCTGTCTGATAAAATCGATTCGATTGAAGTCCTCCATGAACTTACTGATGTTCTTGATAAAAACGGAATCAACGATGCAAAATGTGATGCCTCAGGACGTCTCTGGTTCGGTAAGTATAGAGAAAATATTGCATTTAATAAAAATTTATAATTATAAATAATGCTGTTGCTGTATAATATAAAGTATATTTATCCTTATATTATATTATAATAACACTAGCTGATGTACCCATCGTTGAAGGGTGTATAGTTAAAATTTGAGAACCTTTTTTTGAGATGGATATCCAAATTTAATTTCATAATATTGGATGGGGAAAGGGGTGTAATTTTAATTTTGAGAAGTTTTTCGGCTAATAGGTTTGGTTAACATTAAAAATGTATACATTCTTTAGACTAGAGAAGGTGAATCGAATGACACATTGAACGGGAAGATCGGACAAAGTTGAAAAATGAGTGTGTTTTAAGCGACAACGCGTTACAGATGTTGGGGATTTCGCATTTTTCCCGATGAGTTGTGATGATTTTTTCCATCTGTTGAAGAGTACAACTTTTAAATGTGGCTCGCGGTAGAGTAGGTTGGGATGAGAATCGAAATAACTGCCTAACTGGGACGTCTAGACAAATTACTCAAGAATTCATAAGTTTGGTTCTACTCAATATTTTGTTTTCATTTAAAGCCAATGTTTAAGGTAAAACAAACCTAAATATAATGTCGAAAGTCTACCATTAGCCATTGTTGAGCTTACCTCTGACAAACTTTCGTTGGACAATGCGGACAGACAGACAAAAAAATCTTTTAAAAGTGGATTTGGTGTCTGAAATGTATGGAACGGAAAGGTATCATGAAACGGGTCGATTCTATTAAATATACAGACAAAACCTTTATTTTATTTATATAGATTATATATACATACATAAATAACATAATGTATATATATATATATATGTATATATATGGGTATATGTATATGTATACATAATGTATGGGTTTGGACGGCGAACGGTGGAGGGTGGTGTGTAATAAGCAATTGGTGGTGTCGGCATCGAACCTTCGGGTTCGCTAAGCCTTTTTATTATTATTATTATATTATATTATTATTATTATATTATATATATTATATATACCACCAATTGCTTATTACACACCTCCCTCCACCGTTCGCCGTCCAAACCCAGTCCCTTCAGATCGGCTTTAATGTAACCGTCTGAACTCTCCGGTTAACTCATCCTTCTTCGGTCCGAATATTCTGCGCAATTCTTTATTTTCAAAAACCTTAAGACGCTGCTCATCCCTTAATGTAAGCGGCCAAGTTTCGCACCCATAAAGAACTGTTGGCAAGATAATTGTTTTATAGATTCTAATTTTTAAGTTTCGGGACAAGAGGCGCGAACTGAGTAGTTTTGTCACAGAAAAATAACAAGCATTTCCCGCCTTCAGTCTAACCTTAATTTCTTCTTCAATTTCGTTTTTTCTTGTATATATATATATATATATTATAATAATATATTTACATTGAATATAATACAGTATTATACATCCTTTTTACCGGCTCTCAAGAGCATGATACTCCTAGATTCCTAAATATGTCCAAAAGAAGTTTAATTCTGGAGATTTTTCATCGAGCCGACGGACATCCAACTGTCCAAACGGACATCTTGTAAGTAAATTAGTAGTGGAGGGGAGAAGACAGGAAGTGGGCGATATCAGAATTTATCACAATCCTTCTTCCCTATTATAATTCGATGATTATAATGTTAGAAATAAAAACAAATATTATATATACCTAGTCCTGTCATAAATATTTTAACAAGTTAATATATACAGATTTCAACAGAAAAATTAATTTTTTCAAAAGCTTTATTAGAAAATAAAATTTATATCAATAGAGAGTAAAATATAAAGAAATTCCTCAAAATGTCTCATTTTTGCCTTGACACAGCCATTTAATCTCCGTGGCCAGCCATCAATTGCAGCACGCAGCACTTCTTGAGGAAAGCGCTCAACTGCTCGGACCAGAGATTGTTTGAGGCTTTCCAAGTTAGGGTGTGCTCTGTGGCATACCATCCCACCAAAGTCGATAATCTAGTGGGTTGAGAGGCTTGATAATCTAGTGGGCTTCCTGAGGGCCAATCCGAGGCAGAGATGAACTCTGGAATGTTCTTTTGCAGCCACTGCTGAGTTGGAAAACCCAATGACTTCCAGCAAACAGAGTATCATTTAGAGGCTTGACAACAGGTTCCAAAATGTCCTGATAGTTTTTAGCGGATTTTTTATACTCCTTCTTCACAAAAATGGAGCTTTGTGGTGCCATCAAAACAAACTCTCTAGCAAACAATCACTGAGGGAGGATAATGATCTCTTTCCACTCTTCCTGGGCTTCTTTAAAGCTGTGTGCATACACACGATCATTTTGGCGATTAAATTTGTCTTCAATTGTAAACATTTTCTCATTGCCAAACAAAATCTTCCGAAGAAGACCATTGGTGTAACGGCAAAGGAGCACTTTGCAAACTATTTGGGATTATTATCCTGACATGTAAAGAAAATAACCTGATAGAGGTAATGATTATCTAAATAATACTCCAGGATATAAAGAAAGTTCAACTTTTGAAACAGTATTTATGGCAGAACTAGGTATACGAAAGTCAAATAAATTATATATAATTAGACTAGATGTAGATTTATTATTACACACTTTTAAAAACACATAAATATCTTTATTATTATCAACAACAAAAATAATTACCAAAAAAATCAATGAAATATAAAAAAGGTTGACCATTAAATTATATTAAATAAATATCGATTAAAAACAACAAAAATAAGAGCAAAGAATATCTTTACAAAAAAAAAAAAAAAAAAAAATGACAGATTTAAATTTAAATATATAAATTCTAGGTGATAATAATAATAACAATAACAACCTATATCACACACACTTTACCAATTTTTGTTTTTAATTTCGGAAATATAGGTGTTCTGATGGTAATAGTTCACAACAATATTCTTCACCTACTACTCTAGACTTAAAATATGACATAAAAATTAGAAAAAAATATATTTATGATTTAAAAAAAGTATAAGTCAGAAATTATTATTATTGTTAATTGTAAAAAAAAATTGTTGAAAAATGATGATCAGGATATGATTCTTATCACTTATCGTCAAAAATAAAAGTCATGAAATGATGATTTATAAAATTCCAGATTACAATTTTGACCAGATTTGATTTTTATTTATTTTTTTTAACTGTCCATTCTAAACCCTGGATGAAAGAAACGAAAATTATCATTTTTTTTTTTTTCAATTTTTCTCATGATGGTTTGAAATATTTATGGTTTATTTTTATCTTTATTATACTCATAGCCATTATAACTGTACAATATACTATTAAATTTTGTTTATTTAAACTGTTTGAAGCAAAACATCGTCATTTAATAAGCTTTTAATATTAATTAAATTATTATGATTTAAATAAAAATTAAAAAAAGGAAAGTAATACTGAGAAAAATGACAATCAAAGCTCAAATTTGCTATCAAGGACACCTATACTAATATTTGAGGTCAGTTTTTCGTCAAGAAGTTGATATATTTTTTTAATCTGAATTGCTAAATAGTCAAATAATATAAGAATGGCCCATACATAAATTAAGGCAGCTCTGTATATAAACAGATTATTAATTGGCTAATTTCGGCATTCATTCAGAATTTGAGAATACCATACCCTGGGTGATCTTAAAACAGACTTTTGTCTTGGAGTATTTGAATGAAACTAGTACCATAATAATTTTAAAAAGATACTTAAGTAAATTTTTAGGCATTGGGACATAGATTTTTGATATTTTTCTGACAAGTGCATATTTTGCTTCAATGAAATACAAAACACTCTTTTCATTTCACTAAAACTTAAAAATATTTTTTCACAGGTACGTTAGACATGGATTCTATAAAATATGGACATGAAATAACTCCAACTGGTAAAATCTACAGCTATTCGAAGGAAGAAGGATGCCGCGAACAAGCTTCTGGAATCTACCTAAGCAACGGGATCGTTTGGGATGCAGAAGGAAAGAAGATGTATTATAATGACACTTATGCATTTTCTGTTGACAGTTTCGACTGCAATAGTGATGGCACGATTGGTAAGTAACATTAGTTAATAGAGTGTATAAAAAAGAAAAATTACAGTTTTTAACTAAGTATTTTCATTATTCACGACAGTCAACCATTAACCCACAATTATGAAATTATTGTAATTTTTAACCTCTCAATAATTTCTTTTCATTTCAAAACTTTATGAAGGCATGCCCATTATATTTAAATACGCTATTGGCAGATTAGTAATTAGTTTTTTTTTAAACTTCTTTATTGAGATATTACAACCTGTCACATTCAAGAACAATAGTAATAGTGATATAGAGTAGCTCATTCATACCATACAATAAATAAAATTAATAAATGGCAATATAATAATACTAAAGTAAAAGTAATTAGTAAGTTTAGTATATTTAGAGATGAGTTATTGCATTTTTCATGTTTTTTACTGCATATTCTATTGATTGTTTTCAATATATAAAAATATGGAACTTGGTTATGATATTTTTATACTGGATAAGTCCAGTAATGAAATTGATAAATGATTAATTTTTAAAGAATGTTATAGAAAAATTATTATTTTTTTATTTCAGGAAATCGTAAAGTGATATTTAATTTCAAAGAAAATAACATCAAAGCTCCTTTGCCAGATGGTTTGACAATCGATAAGGATGGTAAACTGTGGATAGCTCTATTTGGAAATTCTGAGGTAATATGCAAAAGAATAAGTAGTTTATTTCCAATGAAAAATATAACAGTTTAATTGGGCACTTGAATGGGAAAACAATTACTATAGAATACATGTAACAAATGCAACATTAAAATTTATTAAAATACATTGAATTAATACATGTTTTATTATTTCTAAACAATCATTGCTTCAGTTAATGAAAATACAAAACCAAAACAAAGGATAGAGCTTTACAGCAGTACATATCGAAAATATTTAGAACACTGTATCTTTGCACCAAATTGTCCGATTTCAATAGTTTTTTTTTAAGGAAATTTCGTAATTTTGTTTATAAAATCAACAAAAAAGAGGATACTTTTTGAGCTATTCAAAAATAAAATTTTACAACCCCTTGTAACTTTTTTTCCAGCTTCTTTTCGGCAAATTATGCTCTTTACGTATATTTAAAGGGCACTAGGGGATACAGGATTTAATTTAGGGGGTTGGGCTTCAGCCCGAAAGCTTTTTTTTTCATTAAAATAACGATAATTACTTTGGAAAAACAGAAAGAAACTAACTACCTGTATGAAATGGTGTTTAAGTGATTCCTTAAGTCCTTTTAAATGTAATTACACGAACAATAATACTTTAAGAGGTATTTAAAAAAAAAATTTAAATGAAACATGGTTATATTTTACCATTTGAGGGGGAGGACTTCAGCCCGAAAGCCCCTCCCCCCCGTAGATTCAACCGTGTTAAAGGGCTTTTAGTAGAGGATTAACTTTTTAAAATAAACCATATTAAAGGTACTTTAGAGGAAGACGTATATGAACATTCGACATTTAAGTGTGAGATCAACGGGGATAAGACTTTACTAATATTAAATACCACTTAATTATACAATGATACACCGAGTTTAATCAAAATCATTAGAGCTGTTTTTGAGAAAACTGTAAAAATGTGTTTCAGCATTGATATAAAGTGACACTTCCGGTTAGCCGATTTTAAGGAAAAGGTTGCTAGGACATCTAAGGTATTTACCTATCTTAAATACGTAAAATCAGTGTTCATATACACACAGACCATTTTTCGTTGTGGGAGTAAAAATCTGGTGTGCGCAACACACAACTTTGGCTTACCGCTCTACTTTGAATAGAAATTTATTTTTTTGGCAATGTTCAGCTATTATAATGTTTTCGAGTTACAGCTTAAAGCTTATATCTAACAAATCATTAACTTGTAACCAAGATTAAGGAAGCATTGGGAAAAAAACAAACTCTTCTCTCTTTTGTTTCCTGTGCCAGATTATTAATTCATTTTATAGCATGTGCATGTGCTCTTACATCTTATATCTCTTGTATGTTGGATATCTTTTCTTGATGTTTAGATGTGGCATGCCATACTATTGTATATGGAATAAGTATCTTTTTTTGTTATTTTTATTATTTTAAATATCTTCCTATTTATCTTTAATTGTATATAGTAATTATGTTTAAATTCCCTCTTTTTTTTTGTATTTTATTTCTTTTTATTGTACATAGTATTAATTCTGTAAATAGATCTCTTAACCTTTTTTGCTGCTTTATAAAAGTATCCAACCTAACCCCTTCTCACCTGAGCTAGCATGGTAGAGTAAATATTTAATGATGGCCAAATAATGGGTAAGTACCTTATGTTTTCTAGATTTATCTCTTTAGAGATGAAAGGCTGTTAAAGCCAGGTGCCCAACAAATAAAAATAAAATAAAATACAAGGAAAGAAAGGGAATTTAAACATAATTACTATATGCAATTAAAGATAAATAGAAAGATATTTAAGATAATAAAAATAACAAAAAAAGATACTTATTTTATATGCATTAGTATGGCATGCCACATCTAAACATCAAAAAAACATAGTCAAGATACAAGAGACATAAGATGTAAGAGCACATGCACATGCTAAAATATAAATTAATAATCTGGCATAGGAAACAAAAGAAAGGGGAGTTTGTTTTTTCCCAATGCTTCCATAATCTTGGTTAGAAACTATAACAAAAACCATATTAAGCAAAAATCTATTGTATGTACTTGAAGTAATTATTACAAAAAATTATACAAATCTGAGACAAAAAGGTTCAGAGTTTTGCTGGTTTCATAAGCAATGGTCCTTAATTATTTTTCCCTATAATTACCTATTATAACATTAATTTTATCACTATTCAAATGAAAATATTATATTTCAGGTACTCAGAATCGATCCCGAAACTAGAAAAATACTGGAAAGAGTGGCAATTCCAGCTGCTGAAGTAACTTCATTAGCTTGGGGAGGTCCGAATCTGGAAGACCTATACGTCACCACAGGGAACATACACCCAGAAGAAGGTCTTCCTTTTCAAGGAGGGGATATCATTGGACCTGATGATGGCTGTACTTTTCGGATCTCTGGTTTATCAACATCTGGCTTACCAATGGTTCCTTTCAAGTTGTAATTTAATAAAAAATATAAAAGAAAAATAAATGTTGTTACTATTTTCTACCATTCTCAAATTAGAACATGTATCAATATTTCCCATGTTAAATTTGTGTTCTACAATATTTAGTAAAAAACCTCTAAAAAGTTTTAAGGATTGAAAAATCAATAGAAAGAATTATTATAGTCATAAAGTATTTTTTATTTATTTACTGAAATTTACTATAACTAGTAGGCCCGTGCGAAAAATTCGCACAGCATATTGTTATCAAATTCCAAATTAATAAGAAAAGAAAATAATGCAACGTATCAAAAGATAAAGTAATCAATTGTTACTTTACCAAGAAATATAATCGACAAAGGAAACTAAATTAATTTAAATCTACATTTTTGTTTGGAACCAACATATTTACAAATTTCATTAGGCTGTATCTTTGCGAAAAGTTGACCGATTTCAATGATTTTTTTGCTCAATTAAGTAATGTTTTATATAATCGTAGGAATAACCTAGGGAAAAGTGTTAATTTTTTAGTTATTCGCAAATAAAGTTTATTTTCTTTCATAACTTGTTTGCCTGAATTTTCGGGGTGATCGGACTATTTTGCCTGTCTGAAGGAGAAGGAAGCCTTCGAAATTGGTGGCTCAATCTTGAGATTTGGTGATGAATTAACGATGATATGGCTTAGCGATCAAAAACACCATCGATAGAGGCCTCAAGTCGATTTACTATTTAACTAAGTCGACAAACTATTTTATTGAAAGCCCTTCAATAAAATAGTTTTACCACTATTTAGCCTTTTTATGACCGCAACCCCGGACCATCTCCTTCCTTTATAATTTTATATTCTTTTTTTTTTTTATAATTAAAGTTAAATGTACTTTCTTTGTTTTCTTATAAATCTAATTTCTTGTTCGTAATTTTCATTTCCTTTAACAGTTACTTAAATCAATAGAAATAAGTAAATTCATCTTTAGTATTAATAATAGCCAGTTTTATTTTCATCTTTTTGCTTTCACGTTTTATGTATATTATATCCTTTTTTTAGGTTTAATAAGGCATTGTAAAACCCTATTCGAGGGATTAGGGAAAGTCATTATTAACCAAGTAATAAGGTTGGATAGGTTATGAGGATAATTAACATATGTTTTTAAACCCATAGGTTCCGAGTTCGTAGCTCACTCCACGTCCTAATCTTTTTTTTTAATTAAATTTATTTATTTTTAATTTTTGTGGTTTTCGCTATTATTCAAATTCAACCAATCAAATAGCGTCTATTAGATAGTTAGTAATATTTAATTGACTCTTGATTATTTTTATTTTTTTTTGTGAACCCTGTCGTCTCCACTGAGCATCCACAAGTTTGTTGCGGAAACGATTTTTCCAAATTAAAGACCGTAATATAATGTCATAATTGAAATTCACACACAAGGCTGAAACGACAAGAAATTGCTCGACATTTCCGGCTGCTCCAATATTTAGAAGAAAAATGCTCTAAATCTTGTTAAAAACTTTAATAACCACAGCGTGCTCATACGACAGCTCAATAACATTAAACGTCCGCCATTGAGATACACAAACAAACTTGTTCAAGATATCGATGCATATATTTATTTATTTGGCAGAAAATACATGTTTTTTCTTTTAATTACAAAATTTTCTTATTCACAATTCCATTTACCTTAACAAGCTTACAACCTTCACCATAAATGAAACAAAAAACTAAAACTAAACAATAAAAAATAAAAGCAAAACAAAATAAAATTATAAAGATAAATCCTGGGTTATAGTCCACAGGTCTCACAAGCATTAAGATTCTCGTCAAAAGCTATAAAGATATTTATACAATAACTTGCTGCTTCATAAATATTTTAAATATATACAGACCCAATATAAGTCGAAACGGGGTGCCCTAATCTTAAAATGGAGATCATTTTCAAAATCTACAGCTCCGGAAACATAAAAATAAATCCTCATATGAAAAATATCCGAAAAACTCAAATAAGTCGAAACGCGGTGGCCTAATCTTAAAATGGAGGTCGTTTTCAAAATCTACGGCTCTAGAAACATAAAAGTAGACCTTTATATTGGATAAATTCTAAAAACTTAAATAAATCAAAACACAGTGGCGTAAACATAAAATGGATATCATTTTCAAAATTTACTGATGGGGAAACATAAAAATACACCCTTATATCGAATAATTCAAAAAAAATTAAATAATTTGAAACTCAGTCACGTAATCTTAAAAAGGAGGTTATTTTCAAAAACTACTCATACGATAACAGACCCAGACATCGAAAAATTAAAGATAATTAAATAAATAAAAAAAGGTTGAATTTGAAATGGAAAAGGTTTAATTTGACTTGGAAAAGGTTGAAATTGACTTGGAAATGCTATATATCATCCTAGTAAAAATTAACCCGTACACTATTTCTTATCATTTTCAACGGGGTAACAATTTATGCCAACCGTAATAATTCAAGTTCGATCCCTTCAGAACAGTTGATAATATGTGATTCATAGTTCTTTTTGTCAGTCATCAATTAACACAATTACCAAATCAAATTACTAGCGAAGAAATACAGCTATGGTTCTTATGAAAATATTTATCGCTTCGGGTTAGAATTATCTTTTTGTATTATCATCATAAAAATGCCTGAAATTTAATTTCAAATTGTTTTTGTGTCTGTTTTATACGAACTATTCCTGTTGGTTTTGAATAGGAAAAAAAAAAGCTGTACTTTAGAGTACAGTATACATCATAAACGCAGTCTAAATAAAAATTTTGAGTGGGCAGAATATCGTTTTGGGGCCCCCCCTCCCTACCCCAATGATTTGAGAAAAAAAAATTAAAATCAATATAAAATAAGCTGAATGAATGAATAAAATGTATATACTAAAATTAATATAGAAAATTCGACAAGCTAGGGCAAGAGTATGTAACGATTTTATTGATACATAAATATTACTTTTTTTTTTAAACTCATTTATTGAAAAATATTACAATCTTTCTCTAGGACATTTATAATAGAGTTCACAGATCACATTCACACTCTATGTACAATAAATAAAATAAATTATACAGAAAAATAATAAATAAAAATAACACATACACACCTATATACAATATCTACAATTCGGCAAGAGAACTCCAAACCAGATTTATCCCTCCAACTGTGGAGGGGAAAAGTATGACTCCAGGAGTTCCCTGCACTCCTCTCTCAACCGCACCACTAGGGCTGAACCCAGTGGAGATTGAGCAAGAGTGCTTTAGCCACATCAAATATCACTTTTATTTAAACTTTCATTTATATTTAAGATAATAATATACAGGGTTTCCCGCAAGTAGAGGGAAGTATTTATGCAAATAATAGTAGACCTCTAGAGTTATCAAAAACTTCATATAAAAAATAGTCCGATTTTCGGCCTAATTTTTTTAATAAATCGTGGTTTTAGACACTAGCGGATCCAGAATTTAATTTGGGGGGGGCTTCAGCCCGAAAGCTTTTTTTTTTTTCATAAAAATGACGATAATTACTTTGGAAAAAAAGAAAGAAACTAAATATCTATATGAAATGGTGTTTAAGTGATTCCTTAAGTCCTTTAAAATGTAATTACACGAACAATATAATACTTTAAGATGTAATTTTTTAATATATTTTTCCATAAAACATGGTTATATTTTACTATTTTGGGGGGGCTTCAACCCGAAAGCCCCCCTCCTCCTCCTCCCCCCGTGGTTTCAGATGAATAGAAAGCGATAACTGAAATATTAGTAAATATAACAATTTCTTCACTGTATACTAAACAAAATTTGTTTCAAACGAAAGAAGAGTTTTGTTTATTTACGAAAAAACAAAAGAATATCTAGGCGCAAAATAAAGAAGCTTGCTGATAGCTTGAATTATTTTCATGAAGTGTTAACGGCACAGCGTTAATTTATTTTATTTTTTACATTTAACTATAGTTTGATTAATTGTCGATTTGGTTTATTTCATCAAAGTAAAATCAATTAATAATATGTATATATTAAGTATTATCGGCCGATAGCTTATATTGTTTATATTAAATAGATGAATAGTTCATACTTGTACTATTTGTTATGGATTGTAGCCCTATTTATAAACAGGTCCTAGGTCCAACCTCTAAGCCCGTGTACTTCGCAGTAGACATTCTGACTCCTTCCTTTATAGAGCTCAGTCCTGCCAACTGGTGCATTGAAGGAATGGAGTACCAGCGATTCGTCCACGTAACGTTGTGCAACTTTTGTTACATATCAATTTTATTTTGGGACTCTTGAGAGGTTTTTTATTGTTTCTATTTTGACTGCAATTTTGAACCATATACATAGTATCTTGTTTGCCATGATCTATCATAAAAATATTTTGTTGAATATTTCATAATTTTTTTTTTAGCATTACTCAGCTTATCTTTATTTCATTCTAGAAGTTTTTATTTATTTTTATCTTTTTGACAAATGTAAAATTGATTTTTTTTTTTGTTATGCTTTCATTATTAATTTACCTAAATGTTTGAAAATAAAGTCTACTTTTTTACTTTCCTACCTATACTTGGTAAGGAAAGTATTGCAATCGTGTCAAATTTTCGACATGCGGTTTTCGACAGATCTATACGTTTCAGAGCCTCCTGAGTCCGAATAACACATTTTTAGCCATTGGTCTGTCTGTCTGTGCCAAGATTTTCTCGAGAACTACTGAACTGATTTTTTTGCTTCTTTTTTTATTTTGTAGGGTTTTGACTACTGATGCCTGTGACAGAAATTCGATGCTCCATGCGCGCAGTTAATGAAATATTTTTCTATAGAGTGTGGCACAAAAATGGCTCTAACGATTTTGAGGAAACGTTCCTATAATGTTCTAATCATTGTTCTTTCAATTTTCGTATATGGACTAAATTCTCGAAAAAAATCAGGAAAAAAAGTTATAAAGAAAAGAAAAATGTTCTGGGGCCTAACTCTATATTATACGGTAAAATTTATAATAAAACTTTTGAAAGGTAATTAAACTACCAACAAAAATCATCGGAATCGAACCAGTATTAGCGATGATACAGCTTATTCA